AACCAATCTAATGGAAAATTTATTTAGTGCTACGTATGCACCGAGTTTTCAGTGCATTTTTCACTCATAATGTGATACATATCTTACTTTTTATCAAATCACTCTCTCATTTGATTTTAAAATAAATTATTTATTAATAATTTGACAAAAATAAAACACATATTACATTATGAGTGGAAGATACATCAAAGATATTCTCAACCTAATGGCCTATCAATACAATTCTTTTTTGGCTTTAATATTTCTAATGTGAACGTAGATAAGTTATATACATTCGCTCCCAAAACGACGTCGTTTTGCGTTAAAAAATTAAAGAAATTATACCGAAAAAGACTATTATAACCCTGAAATAAATTATAATTACAAAAATACCTTGATTTTCACCTTAAAACTACGTCGTTTTGAGATCAATATAGATAAATTATCTATATTGACTGTAAAAAAAATGAACCCTTCTTTTTTATTGAAATTTGTAGGCTTCGTTATCGGGGAATCGTCATATATATATACAGAGAAAGAAAAATATTTCTCAAGTTGCTTGAGATATATTTATCTCCGGCCAACTCAAAACTACGTCGTTTTGTTTATTTATTTCCTTATATTTATTGATTCACCTTTGAATGGTTATGATTTCCTTTTTCTTTCTCTTTCTTTATCACCATTCATCTATTTTTGTACGGTTATGATTTAGTGGCCGGAGATAAAATTATCTCAAGCAGCTTGAGAAACGGTAAGCCCATATATTCTTTATCACCATTCATCTATTTTTGTACGGTTATGATTTAGTGGCTGGTGATAAAGCTATCTCAAGCAACTTGAGAAACGTTAAACCCATATATATATATGGGCTTACCGTTTCTCAAGCTGCTTGAGATAATTTTATCTCCGGCTACTAAATCATGATCGTACAAAGATGGATCAAAGGTGATAAAGGAAGAGAGAAAAAAAGGGAATCATAACTATTTCAAGGTGAATCAATAAATATAAGAAAATAAATAATCAAAACGACGTAGTTTTGGGGTGGCCGGAGATAAATTTATAATCAAAGGATCCTACCTATATTTAGGGAAAAACATTTCTCAAGCAGCTTGAGATAAGTTTATCTCCGGCCACCCCAAAACTACGTCGTTTTGATTATTTATTTTCTTATATTTATTGATTCACTTTTAAATGGTTATGATTCTCTTTTTCTCTCTCTTCCTTTATCACCATTTATCCATCTTTGTACGGTCATGATTTAGTAGCCGGAGATAAAATTATCTCCGGCAGCTTGAGAAATGATAAGTATATATATATATATATATATATATATATATATATTTATATATTTATATATATATACACTACCTTAATTATAACCTATCCCTGTATATATAGGAATGTCTTTTTCTCCTTCTATAGAAGAAAGAATATATATCAAGCAAACACAAATACATGTGTGAGACCCATATGTGTTTTTTCTCTTTCATCTTACCCGTGGGTTCCACACTTATTTTTGTGCTTGCTAAAGATATATTCTCTCTCTAAATATATATATGAGGTAGGATCCTTTGACACAAATGTCAAATTTGAAATTTGACACCTCATTTGATAGCAGTTAGATCAAAAAAAGATCAACGACTCTGATTTGTAAGCATGTGACACCATTGATCTTTTTTTATCTAACGGCTACCAGATAAGGTGTCAAATTTCAAATTTGACACTGGTGTCAAAGGATTATATATATATATATATATATATATATGAAATATGATATTGTTACTATCAATTAGTGTTATTACCAATGTCACTCTCAGTTTGTTTCACCGTTAATTTTCGCAAATCAATGGTTATCATTTTTTCGCAGAAATCAACCGTTGATTGGCGAAAATCAACGGTGAGGATTTGGTATATATATATATATATATATATATATATATATATATAGGTTTACATTTCTGCAGCTGTTGTACGTGCAGCAATCAAATACTTGCCATATATATGTGAAAGTATTAAATGCGGGTAATAATAATCATACAAAAGACGAAAGCATTAAATGTGGACAATCATAACCATACACCTGTCGTTGCTGTACGTAAAGCGGCTACAGAAATGATTTTACCTATATATATATATATATATATAGGGCTTATCATTTCTCAAGGTGCATGAGATAAAGTTATCTCCGGCTACTAAATCATAACCGTATAAAGATAGATCAATGGTGATAAAGGAAGAGAGAGAAAAAGGGAATCATAAGCATTCAAAGGTGAATCAATTAATATAAGGAAATAAATAAATAAAATGACGTAGTTTTGAAATGGCCGGAGATAAACTTATCTCAAGTTGTCGGAGAAATGTTTTTCCCATATATATATATATATATATATATATATAAGAAATGATATTACAACAACCAATTAGTGTTACTACCAATGTTACAACCGATCAATTTCACCGTTAGATCGATTATGTGGATCAGCGGTTATATTTATTTTCATCTTTTTTTTTTGTAAATATATTTATTTTCATCTTTATAATATTATGATTTTTCATATTTATATTTATTTTCACCTTTGTATGGTTATGATTTTCCATATTTAATGCGTTCACATTAAATATAGGGAATCATAGCCATAAAAAGATGGAAATAAATATAATCGTTGGATCAATATAATTGATCTAGTGGTGAAATTGATTGGTAGTAATATTAATTGGTTGTTACAATATCCTATCCATATATATATATATATATATATATATATATATATATATATATAATTACCAGTAATATAAGTCTCTAATTAATTAATTATTAAGCAGAAGTATAAATATGATAACTCTCATATTAAAACCTACGGTGTTTCGGAAAGTTAAATTCTGGAATCTAATTAAGATGTACTATCAACTCTTTTATTAAATTTTGTCTTTGTTTTATTCATTATACTATGAGCTTGGTGTTTGTCATTTTAAATGACATAAGTTATGTCATTTTAGGAAAGAGATAGACACAGAAAATAAAAATCACAGGAGAAAGAAAATGAGTGTTTTTTTTAAAGTTTAAATAAAAAATTTATTCTGTGTCTATCTCTCTTAAAATGACATAACTTTATGTCATTTAAAATGACAAACACTTTTTCCTTATCCTATTGGTTAATAATCTATTAAAATATTATTAAAAAAATTAACTTATTAAAATTTTTTGCGGACGGTTATACTTACCACCAGGTAAGTTTACCACCTTTACAACGAATCTCATCACCGTTAGATTAGAATTAAATCTAACGGTCTATAATTATCTCATATAATCCTAATTTTTTTTCTCTCAATCCCTATTTGTCTTTCTCTCTCTAGGTTTCCATACCCTCTCTATCTCTATCTCTATCTAAGTTTGGAAATCACCTCTCCCGTCCTCTCTTCAAGCGTTGTGTGCTTTTGACATGGATTCACTGTAACAATTTTGATTTTAACTCGCTCCAGATCGATTTAACCAACCGATAAAATAAAAGACGCTTGTTATTTTCTTCTTCTTTAATTTGGATTTAGAATCAGATTTTATTCAATAACAATCGTGCCTTGTTTTGTTTTCTGTTCAAAAACGAGTGCCTATTCTCAATGGTTTAGTGTATTGCATTACTGTATGTTTAGGTTTGGATTTTGTAGGTGTATCTTCTGAGTTTTCGAAACTCACTGTAAATCGTAACTTTTCATATATTGAACATTGATATTTATATAAGCTAATAAATCGTAATTTAATTTTATTATGAGACCAGGTACACAAAAAACCACTATAGGGTTGAAGGAAAGTTTTGTAAAACTATCTGTCTCATGTGTAATATTATGTGTCAGGTGGTTTAATTAATAAAAATGGCATTATGATAATTTGGCTATTAAAGGAAAGTTACTTAAAACAACTGTTGATAGGCCAGTTATATTAAGTGATATATGGACAGTTTTATGATCATTGGTGTCAGAAACAAATTAACGTCCTTCTGGTCTACCTTGAAGAGTTGTATCATATCCCTGTCAAAGAAGATACAAAAATAGTGAAAGGTTAAGGCTCTGAGAAAGTATTCTACCATCAAAGTTCTTCCGCATTAATGGACAAAGGTATGTCTACGTGAAACTCATGAATTCTAAAGGTCCTCTGTCATGTTCTTGAATGATTATTGTTGAACATGAATTAATGAATTACTGATGAAATGCTTACAAGTTTTACTCCAGTTACGCTCAAAAAATCACTATAGGGTTGAAGCGAGGACGAGAGAGGTGATTCTCAAACTTAGATAGAGATAGAGAGGGTATGAAAACCTAGAGAGAGAAAGACAAATTGGGATTGTGAGAGAAAAAGTTAGGATTATATGAGATAATTATAGACCGTTAGATTTAATTTTAATCTAACGGTGATGAGATTGTTGTAAAAGTGATAAACTTACCTGGTAGTAAGTATAACCGTCCCCAAATTTTTTACCGCTGTCAGAATCCTATCAATAATTTAATGGGGTTTACATTTGTCATTTAACATGACACTACAAATTTTTTTACACACACAACATTTTGTGGGTCCACACTTTTTAAAGAAAAAAAAAAAAAAAGAAATTACGGCACGCAAAACGAATCTCTATAACATTACACAATCACTTTTCCTACAACATAACTCTTATAAAACCTTAATTTAATAATATACAATTCCACGATTTATATAAAAAAGTATACAGTTAGTAAATTAAAATAAAATAATTTCGTTTATTATTTTCATACTTAAAAAAAAAAAAATGTGAAATGGAGCGTTTGGAAACAGATCAATGTCGAGGCAAATACGCAGTCGTATTAGGGATAAAAAGAAGATCCAAATCTAAAACCGGAGGGGGTAAATTAAACATGGATTTTGCGTCTGTCATTTAACATGACCACAACAATTTTTCTACACACAATATTTTGTGAGACCTGCAATTTTTGAAAAAATAAAAAACTCCTACACGCAAATTTCTCTATAACGTAACAGAGTCACTCTCCTTAAGATAACTCTTATAAAACGGATTAAACATTATTAGGGTTTCTTTTCATTTCGCATTTCGCATTTCGCATTTCGCATTCGCATTCGCCTCGGATCGAAGAAGATGGGGAAACAGACGGTGCCGGTAAAATCGGTGGTCTATGCTCTCTCTCCTTTCCAGCAGAAGATAATGACCGGTCTCTGGAAGGATCTTCCAACCAAGATTCACCACAAGGTCTCCGAGAATTGGATCAGCGCCACTCTCTTGCTCGGTCCCCTCGTCGGCACCTACACGTATGTTTCTTCACATTCAACTCTGTTTTAGGGTTTCATGTAATCTCGATCCAGTTTCCCTTTTCGTGCACGTTTTATTTTCTCAATTTTTATGGAGTCTATGATGATCATATGGTTGTGGTTGTAAATTAAATTAGCTTCCGGATTGATATCGCCAAAAGGTGAAAATTGAACCCTGATTTAATTTTACTAGACATGTTATTGTCAATAAATACTAAATTGTCAATATTATGTGGAACGGCTTCTCTGTTGTTGCCTGGCCTCAAGATCTCTGATAAATTTGATACATAACTACTTTTTATGATACTCCTGAGCTTGATAAGCTTTTCCATGGATTGCTGGCCTCTTTTAGGTTTTAGTGGCGTTTTTTTCCCGTGTGTTTTAGTGCGTGGGAGAAAATCTTAGCTCCTTTGCTTTACTCATCTCCATGAATTTCTTACCAAAATCCAAAAATTAAGACGTCGCTAATATGCTCAATGAACTTATAGGCATCTCTTTGAGCACATCATCTTCGACTTTATGTGTTTGTGTGTGTCAATGAGTGTGTGATGGGCTGGTTTGTTGAATGTCCCTGCATCAGCGTATTCACTTGTGCTTCGTTTCTCTCTTCATGTTTTCCTCCCTCTTTTGTTGGTGTCATTCAAGATAGTTGGCTTCGGTTGTTGCAAAATCCATGGTTGAATCCTACATTGTGCCTTGGCATTACAAGGTTGTCAGAATCAAGATCCTATGTAGAATCGGAAAGGGAGGGTCACGGAAAAAGTTAAAACATGTATAGGAAGATTCCGACTAATAATTAAGAAAAATAACTCTAAAATCACAACTAACATTTAATTAAACTCCAATTAAAAATATATAATAAAGTCACAACTCAAAGTTACAATTCATAATGTATAAGATATAACAAGTTATTTACAACACATAAAACTAAAAACAGAGCAAAAACACCCACACAATACAGGCAAGACTTTTTGGGTGCTTTCCATAGGATGAAAGATTGTAATTGTTTAGTCTTAGCCCCAATATGTTATCGGAAAAAAAAAACTTTGTGGGACTACAACAGAGTCACACATCCAACACAGAGCCCCTGCACCACTTGAGTCACAGCACGACAGACATGGTGGGACAGCAACAGAGATTGAATGGAACAAGGTAACAGCAATTCAGAATCTCAGATCAAAGTGGGAGAGAGATGGTGAAGGAGGAGCTGCCAAAAAGAAAGTTGGGGTTGGGGTTCTTTTATTTGCAAGGGTAGGGTTGTGTTGCTGTTATTATTATTATTGAAAAAGTGGTTGCTTATCTCCACCACTTAAATGGTGGCTTGTCCAGTACGCAAAAATTGCCCAATTTCAATGAATTCAGGAGCTTGCCCCATGATCCTACAATGATCTCACCAAACTCGGTGTGTGTAATTGGGATCTAAGCTCTCAAGCAAAAGCATAAGCTTGGGAGATCATACAAGGAAGATTGTGATCTTAACAACATTGGTGCTATATGTCACTATTAAAAAAGCCATTGTGCAAATTTTGCGGTACATCACCCACATGGATTATATTCATAGCAATAGCAATTGAAATCAGCACTTCAGCTATTTGTCTTTGACTTTCTTCTGTTATTTTGGGGGTTAATTTTTCATTTTACTTATAATTGTCTATATTCAAGAGGGTGAGCCTGGAGCAGTGGAAAAACTGTTCCTTTGTGATTGAAAAGTCATAGATTCGAATATGGGAAACAGTCTCTTTGCAAATATGTATGGACAAGGTTGCATATAAGGATTGCCTTCACTCCTACCCTCGCTGGTCGGGGTTTAATGGGGAGTGGTTTGATATTTGTCTATATTCATTTTCACGATTCCAAGCATATACAATTATTATGCCATTTTGGCAGATGTTTTATCTTTCAGTAACCATTGTTCTATTGCATATGCTAAAAGATCAAAGAAAGGTGGAAAAACTAAATTATACTGGATATTTCACTTGGTAATTATTTCCTTGAAACAAATCTGTTAACTCAGCACTGATCATTAAGTAAAATAGGGGGTGTGGTAATGAACTGAAATTAAAATGGCCGTCACTCTCCCGGTGGCTAACTTGTATGTCTAATATGTGTCTCGATGGATGCAGGTATGTTCAGAACTACCTGGAAAAGGAGAAGTTGGCTCACAGGTACTGAGCTCATGCCAGAGTAGATTGGATAATCTTCAAGTTTGTTGTCTTATCTTGTTTAGCCAGCCAATAATGTGATATTTGTTGAAACTTGCTCGTCCTTTTGGTTTCGAGATATCTATGAGTTTGAGCCTTTTCAACTTTGACAGTTTTTATTAACAGTTTTCTTCATTTTAATTATCTATATGCTATGAAAGACAATTGATGTCTTGTCAATAATACCAGAATTAGTTTGTGATAATGAGTTGGTATCACTTTGTTTTATTCAAATAACAATCCTTCACTATCGCCAAAATTTGACTAATTTTATTAAGCTATGTATCTCTACTAAAAAAATAGTATAAAAAAGTTCATGATATTCCTTTTTTGTTTGAAAGGTTAAGCAACTTAATGTTTGGAGTTGTCGAAATTAGTTGTCTCATAAGTAGACCCATTTAATCCTCAAAATGGGATAGGAATAGGATGGTATCACATGTAGGCGTTTAGGTCTAGCTCATCACTTTGGTGAAGGACTTAAGTCCTATTGTTGTTGGCTTATTGGACAATCAAAAATATATTTAATTGATATCTTTATTCAAAATTAGAGAACTACTAATCTTTTTAAGAAAATTTCAAATTTGTTTTTTTTTAGTAACAAATTTCAAATATGTTTTTATTAATGCTAATTAAGGTTTTATTGTAAAATTAGTGAATAATAACAAATTAAAAGTTGTTTTTGAAATCTCTCAAGTTTCTTTTTATTTAATAGGCATATCTTATCCCATGCAAGGCTGTGTTGGTGTAGTTTATCATAACGCATATCAGAAGTGGGTTTTTTAACCTCAATGTTTGAAAGATGAAGAATGATATTAATGTAGTTTTTTTTTTTCTTTCAAAAAATTGATATTAAAATGGAAAAAGTATTACTCCTTTAATAGGAGAGGTAAAGTTATTTTCAATAATTTCAAAGCAATATCGTTTTCAGTTTAGGGAAAAAAATAAAGAATATTTTAAAAAATTTACTATCATAAATTTTATTAAAATATCTTGTATATTTTTTTCTTCAAATTATAAAATGACATTGTTTCAGTGTGTGGCAAGAGATAATTTTAAGAGTAAACACCTTTTTTGGTCCCTGGTAATATCTACGAAATCCTTTTTAGTCTCTGGCAATAAAAAGGGACCAAATTGGTCCTTAAAATTATGAAAAAAAGGGCCACATTAGTCCTTATGTCAACTCCTCCGTCACTAACGTGACCTTTTTCTCATACTGTTAGGGACCAATTTGGTCTTTTTTTATTGCCAGGGACTAAAAAGAATTTCGTAGATATTGCCAGAGATCAAAAATGGTGTTTACTCTAATTTTAAACGTTAATCTCACCTTAGAAAGTTGGCATCAATTTAGTAGCTAACGGAAAATGACTTAGGTTTCAAAAGAATGATTTGCATATCAATTTTTATAATTAAGATATTAATATTACTAGTTTATTCTCGATATTATTGGGAGTTGATCTTTTCACGTTAAAATTTTACATGATTTGATCATGTAAAATTTTTGTGTGTATCTCTTTCTTCATATATATTTAATAGGTAGGATCTAATTATCATTAATGAAAAAAGACATTGATACTAAAATTTCATATAATCAAGTCATGTGAAATTCTAATACCAGTGAATCCATTTTCAAATTTATTTTACTTTACTTTTTTTTTTTTTTTTGATAACATTAAGGGGCGAAGCCCCAAACAAAAACAAACAAACAACCAGAAACAAAAAATAACTATCCAGGGTTTATATCCCTACAAGAGGAGATTTCCTGAAGATCGTGATCAAATAACTGAGCAAGGTGAAACGGCATAACTCTATGACTCCAGAATCCAGTATCTTTGTGAAGAGCAGACTTGGCTAACCAATCAACACAGGAATGAGCTTCTCTTGGAATATGAGAAAGCGTTACCTCCCAATCCTGACCGATGAGTGCTTGTATCTTAGCCACTATACGAGGCTGACAAGCTGCATTGCAATCAGCAAGCAAAGAGAATACTTCAGAAGCATCTCCTTCTAGTTCCACCTTCTTAAATCCCAGTTGCCAAACCAATTCCAGACCTTTTAGAGTTCCCCAAAGCTCCGCTATTAAAGGAGTGCAAGCACCAATATGATACTCAAAGCCTCCCAACCAAGAGCCATCATCAGATCTGATAATCCCTCCACAAGCAGCCACCTCAGTATTCCTTTCAACTGCCCCATCAATATTAATCTTCACCCAATTTAGCCTTGGAGGTTTCCATAAACTCATACGAGTTGGATGAATGCTAGTAGTAGCCATAGCCTTCCTACCCATGCAGTTACGAACTTCCTCTATATACATAGCAATTATGTGCGTTCCATGGGTTGGATGCTTGAAGTTAGTATCATGGACACTTTTGTTCCTCCATCCCCAAATGAACCAACAAGAGATAAAAAAGACATCATGCCAATCATCTGAACTACTTTGATTCCAAGCTTTTGAGATATTATTTTCAACCCAATCTCTAAGATCCAAGCTGTAGAATAAGCTTTGCCGATTAGCTGAAACCATAGAATTCCAAACACTTCTAGCATGCTTACAATCTCTTAGAACATGGAGATTTGTTTCCAACTCACCAGGACACATTTTACAATGACCAGATTCCCCACTCCATCTAGATGTGCGGTCTTTAGTAAGAAGGCGGCCATGCATTATGATCCACATACAAGATTTAACACGTTGAGGCCCATGCCATTTCCATATGGTAGTCCAAGAATTTTTCAACGGCATGAGAGGGAAACCAAGCATGTTATAATACGCGGTTTTAACTAAAGAGCAGCCAACCTTTTGATTTCTCCAAATAATGCGGTTATTTCCATCCGATGCGCTAGGAATGAGAGCAACTTGGATCCTTGCAACAGCTTGATCATTGAGATATTGACGAATATAGGGAAAGTTCCATTGACCAGTATTGCTGTTCACGAAGGAGATATTTTACTTTACTTCAATCCTTCACTTAGAGGAGAAATTTTTTTTGTCTTGGGAATCATGGTGGGAAAGTGAATTTCCCGAATGTTACCAAAAATCTATTTTGTAAGTCAAAATATTACCAAAAATGTTGGCTCAAGTTTTATGATTCCATGTTTGGTTAATTATCAAATATTGCTAAGAATGTGGGCTAATATTCCAAAAGTAACATTACCATCATTTTATTCAAAACTTATTGAATTTAAAATTAAAATTCCAAATGTGGTTCTTGATGGGGATGGGGCCTTTGCTCCTTGTGGGGGATTGTGAACTAGATGGTGTTGATGGAGATTGTGAGCTATCAACGCCAGGGAAAAGGATGAGTTTGGTGATGGAGAATGGAGATGTTGTAGGATTTGGTGGTGATGGTTTTCACGAGGTCGACGTCGGTAGGGGCATTGATTACAGCAGAGTTGAAGGCAATATCCCATCACTGACTTGTGCAACCTTAATGAAGCCTTGCTGGTTGGTGGCGAGGCCTGAAGCCTAATAAAGGGTTGGTTGCTACCCTGAGCTTCCATCAGCTTCTTCTCATCAAAATAACCGAGGATGACATAAGTGCTGATGATGGCCTGAGGGTATTTTGTCTGAAAAATTTGAGAATATTTTCCTACCGTGTGGAATTTTCAGAATACCACATGTGAGGTGGTATTATTGATTGGGATTTTGCTGAACATTTTAAAATCTTGGTAATGTAACTTTTTCAGGAAAAATTTCACACTTCCTTATACCAAACGTGGGAAATAAGATTCTCCATGTCAATTTTTCAGGAAACCAAAATTTACCCACATACCAAACACCTCCATAGGATTTCTTTCAATAAATAAAGGATTTTATAATTCTCATTTAACATGAGACTTGAAATCGTTCTACATACCCTTCAATTTCTGTACTGACGTAGGTCCTACACATAATTTTTTTTAACATGGTGGTCCCACATATTTTTTTCTCTACAACATAAATTTTAATTCTCATGTAACTTGAGAATTATAAAATTCATAAATAAAAAATCAGTAGATAATTATATGCTTACGGGAATCCCATTCTCTTACATAAGCCTATAAATGCTGGAAAGATAAAGCGACCATTCTGTTAACATATTATCAGAAAATTTCAAACCAAAAAATAGTATTGTTGACATAGAAAGGGCAACCATGCTGTTGACATATTATGCTTTCACTGATGGTTTAAGATGGCAAGCGCTTTGATCATCTTGGATTTTTAATAAATATTATTGGGCTCAATTTAATTCTTTAGAGAAAAAAAGTGGACTCGTGTTTCCTATAAAATTCAAAATAGATTCATGTCAGTTCTTTAGAAGGACTAACGTGTATCTTCTTCGAATTGCAGAGGGACCATAATTACGACTAACTGAGTCTATTTTAAATTTCAGATGAACCACAAGCTGACTTTTTTTTTAAAGGATTAAAATTGGTCCCGTAATTTTTGTTGAGAACCTAAAAATACTTCACTTTACTTTCTTTTTTTTTTATACACAATCTTCTTCTTTTTTAAGTACAACACTTCGATAATTGTCAAACTTACAGTAGTCTTTATTATTTACTTAACCAGCAAGTAATTTGTATATCATATGAATTTTTTAAATTTATGTAAAACATAAAAATATAGATTAAAAGAAAAATTAAAATTATAAAAAAAATACGTATGATTCATTTAAGAAAGTTTAAATCTAAAATTTATATATAAAAAAAACACATGTCATTCTTTGAAAGAATATACGTGAAAGAGATTAAAGTCATTCTCAATAAAATAGAGACTATTTTAATAAACTTTATACGTTTATAATAAGATTAGGATGACAATTTGAATCGACATGATATGAATTTGACACAAATACATTTAATACAAATTTAAAATTGGGTTAAATTTTTTGACACAAACACAACTCATTTATTATGCGGGTTGACACGATTAATCCGCAAACTTATAGTGTGTAGCTTATTATGAAGGGTGATACGACACAACATGAATAACTTGTAAGAAAATTAATTTGGATCAATTTTGAGCTTGCGAGTTGAC